TGACGGTTGGAAATATCCACCAGACACACCAGTCAGCAGTTTACAATAATTTAAAAATTCGGTAATTCATTAATTAGGATGTAGGTTTTCGATACCAATTCAAAATCGTAGCAGACAAAATTTTGCGATCACATGAATCTAGTCAATAAGGTTACAAAATCTGATGTGGCATAATTTTTACTTTTTTACAAAAAAATTTCTCGCTAAATTCTAGCATATGGTTCTAAATTTTAATTGACAGAAAGCATGTAATTGCGAACTTTTCTGCTACGACTATCTTACCTACCAATTCATCAAATTCATCAAAAAGGTTTATTAATTTCTGTTTGTTTAAAGTATTTTGTCTATATCGTATGCTAAAGACCGGTCATGGAGACTCTCGTTTTGACGAATTTCGACAAAATGTTTCAAAGCTTTTTGCTTTTTTTATTTTACAAATGATCTGGATATGGACTATCAGTTTACCACTTACATTCTTAAATTCTCCAAAAATTAATAATTCTGTTGGTGTATTGGATCAATTTGGAAGTGCCACTGATGTTTTGGGTGTTATTTTGTTTGTTGTCGGATTTTTGATTGAGTCTGTTGCTGATGTTCAAAAGGTTTTATAAAGATCATTCTTTTTTTTCTGCATTTATGGTTAGGCTAATATTAATCGTTATAATTATTATTATTAAATTTTAAATCAATCATACAGCTTATATTTCGTATCAGACGAACTTCTCCAAAGGAATTTATGAGAACTGGTCTTTGGGCATGGAGTAGACATCCAAATTATTTTGGAGAAATTACGGTAAGTTATTTTATATTTTTGACGTTATCTTGATTTACTTGTCGATTTACCTATTTATGATCTTTAATTCTTTCAGCTTTGGCGAGTTGTTTTCTCGAATTTTTTTATTGCTAACTAGAGGTGATGATCGATCACATAATGACTAATTAATGAATTACCGAATTTTTAAATTATTGTAAACTGCTGACTGGTGTGTCTGGTGGATATTTCCAACCGTCA